GAACCTCTAACGTTTGATTTTGGGTTAAAAGAATATGGCCCAACGCTTGTCTATTGACTCAAAACTGAAATGTTGGGGTTTAATGTGTTTCCATAAAAAAGAATAGGGTCCAATATGAAATTTTTTATCAAACGTTAAGGGTATTTTTAAGTTGTTCTTTGATGATTTAATGATGCAATCATTGATGTATTTTTAATAAAAAATTAAATATAAAATTTAAAGATGATATTAGTAAAAATTATTTAAAATTAATAAATATAAATCATAAAATAGATTTTTAATATGTCAATATATGTATATATATATATATATATAACCCTTTTAATGAATGCATATGATTAATAAATAATTTTCCCTTAAATTATGAAAAAATAATAAGTTTATTAAAAATCAAATAAAATTTATAGTTTTTTTTTTAAATTTTAAATTCTTATTATAAATAATCAATTTTTTTAAATATAAAAAAGAAAAAATATAGTCCATATATAAACATTAATGTATTTACTATATTATGATTACTATTAGTTCATAAGAAAAGAAAGTCTTTAAAAACAACCATCACAGCGCTTCATTCCATAACCCATCCTTCTTTTCTACTCATGACTTCATCGGTCAGTGGCGGAGGCAGATACATGGCGTTCTCTCCGTCGCCTTCCGTCCCTCACTCTCCCCACATCTCTGGCTTTCGATCCGCCGTCACCTCCGCTGCTCTCCTCGATCAAGAGAAGTAAGCTGTTTTTTTTTCTCCTCTCTTTCTCTTTACGTTAATTTTAGTCTAACCCTTGCGATCGTCGGTTTGTCAGTTAATATAGTGATCTCGCCTCTGATCTTTCTATTTTGCTTACTGTTAAAAAATGTTTTTTCCAGCTCACTTCTGCTGCAGTTTTCCTAGATCTAGAGCTTGATCTTTCGTTTTTGAACTGCCTATGTTTTTCGATTCGAGTTTCTGTTGATTTTAGGATTTTGCTAACAGATCAGTTCGAATTTTGGAGCTGATGAATTTCCAGTGTTGTTTGTGTGTGGGGGTTGCAGTTTAGGTTGTGATCTGGGAATAGTTGTATTGGATCGAAGGGGATGATCGGATATCTGCAATCTTTTGTGAAACCAGAATCCGAAATTTGGCTTTGAAACCTTAATATGTTTATTTTCCATGGAAATCCAAACCTGCTAAATATCTAAGTCCAATTTTTTTATAAAATAAAATTTTTCAAAATTAAAGCTGATAATTGATTTGGATCTCCTTATCCAAATCCATTATCTGCTAAGGTAAAGTGGATTCAGATAATGGATGTGTTAATCTATTGTCATCCTGCAATTGAAGCTAAATATGATTGTTTCTGTTCAACTTTAACATCACCTTGTTTAGATAGATGTGTTAATGTATTATTGGCTGATGATTTCTGTTTTCCCTTTCTTAGATATCTCAAGGAGTTGCTGGAAGAGCGTTACAAGCTTACCCCATTTATGTCAGTGATCCCTCATACGTGTAGACTGTTGAACCGTGGTGAGTTCCTTTAAGTAGCAATCTTCTTTTTCTTGTCAAAGGATCATGCACACAGCTCACTATATCCTTCTCTCTTTGTCCTTACTAAAACAACTTAAGGCTAACGGTTAATTGCCAAATACCAACTCAACATGTAACTCATTGGAAATGGTAATCAAGACCCACTAAAACTAGCTTTTTTACTAAATCTCCTGTCAAAGTAAATTCTTTTGGTAAAACATGTGAATGAATCGTGGCTCATGTCATGACAACTTTTTTTATAGAACTAACAATGACTAAGATGCAGTGGAACTATGATAGAGGTCCGACTTAGTCCATTTTTAGCCCTCTATGGGGAGACTTGCTTACTCTTTCCAACTTATTTTGGGTGGAGCAATCAAGATTCAACTGAAACTATGGTTCTAGATTAGTTTTTGAAAAAAAAAATATGGCAAATGTTACATGAATTTCGGTGGCATTCAATGTAACAATGGATGGTTAGACATTTCTTAGGAAGGAATAAAAACGCAGGATAAAGAAGAAAGAAGAGGTTGCTGCTGCAGTGATAGATGATAGAGAAAATAGGATAGGAACAAAGAGGGAAGAAAAAGTTGCTGACCCAAACTAACAGTGTTGAAGGAAGAAAATGGATGGGAATAAAGAGTTGAGGGGGAACCTTGTGATTTTGCTGCTATTTATCTTAGGAAGCAGTCTATGGTGGGTATTCATCGTACGATCCCAAGGTCTTTTGAGGAATTGAGAAATCTTGGTATTAGATAGTTGTTGTGAGAGACGTTTTTACCTGCTTCTAACCACAATAAATGGTTGTTTGTTTTCCCTATCTTCTATTGTACAGAAGTCGCCTTGCAGCAATGTGCTAATATTTGGTGGGAGAGATTAAATAGTGTTTCTTTTAATGTTTCCTCTGTTTATGTTGTATTCCTTTTCCTTTCTGTCTTGTATTATTTCTGATACTAACAGTTTCTTTGTTTCCCCCATGATTCTGTGGGATAGTAGGTGAAATAATTCGTTTTAAATTAATGTTAAAAATATTTATTATTGATTCAAAAGTGAATTGAAATAAAATTTCATTGCATCTTTCATTTCTTTTCTTACTCAGCTGGAAGAGTAATTTAATTCATGAAGCCACAGTTGGAATTCAACTGACTAAATTAACATTGCCTATAGTCTCTCCATTTTGTGGTGACTGCTAACTGATTTCTCAACGCTAACTGGTACATCTTATTCTTGAAAATGACATTTTTGGAGCAGAAATTTCGCGTATAACTACACTGTTGGGGAATGCATCAGTTTTAGGTCAAAGTGGGCTTGAACAAGCTAGCACCCTGACTTCTGGAGGAATGATCTCAAACGGAGGAGCTGATATGAACAGATGGATTTCACGGTTTCAATCAGAAGTATGACTACTAACCATTAACCTAACTCCGTACATCTAATTTTGCTGCTTTTCGAGGTAGTGCTGACTTAATAATTTACGACATTTGATGCTAACCTAACCTTTATTTGAAATCTAGCTTGTATTGTTCTTTCTCTTTTTACAGGAAAACTGAGGCTAACATGAAGAAGTCTTGCAAACTAATTTTATCTTTAGAAAATGTTTCAGGCTGTTTCTCTGTCTCTTATCATTGTCAAGATAAAATCAGACTTGCCGGGGATGATAGTTAGTTGTAGTCTTATATTTGTTAAGCTTCAGTTCTTTTTAGGATGGAAGCCTGAAATGCCGAATAAGTGTGATGCAATGCAGTTAGGAGATTGGATACGAGGGCTAGTCTCTGAACGCTGTGTTTATTGCTGACTATCTTACTACCCCCCCCCCCAAAAAAAAACAACAACAAAAAAAGAGGGAAAAGGAAAAAAAGTGGTTTACATTATTTCAGTTTCCAGTTGTATATTTGTACAAAGACTATCTTTTTATTTCATAGACGCTGCTTAGATGGTATCTCAATATGTTGATGGCTGACTGTGTTAATAGGGGCCTTATTCATCTGGAAATCCATATGTTGCTGCTTTTAGACATCATAGTCCTTGAACCTCAGATTTTACTCATCTGTTTATATTCTGTCTGAACGGTATCTTTTTACAGTGGAAGACATTTGCATTAATTTTTTAAGATGTTATTTATTTATTTTAACAACAAGTTGAATATTATGGTGCAGATTCCAGGTTTAGTGCAGCCCTCTTTGACAGAGAACTGGTTGAATTCTCGTAGCTTGTCCGGTCTTATTGTTAAGAGAACAATCAGGGTGGATATTCCTGTCGACAAATATCCCAACGTATGTATGCACTCTTCATCAATGTGATTTAGAACATATCCTTTTCACTTTCTAAATGAATTTAATGTTGCAGTACAATTTTGTTGGCCGCCTCCTTGGTCCTAGGGGCAACTCTCTTAAGCGCGTGGAGGCCAATACGGAGTGCCGTGTCCTTATAAGAGGGCGGGGCAGTATTAAGGATCGAGCTAGGGTAATGATCCTTTTGTTTCATCATTATAAGTAATTATTGCTCATTAAATAAGTTTGATAAATATGTGATACATATTTAACAAATTTTGATGAACTCAAAATATTGCATCTTAAAATATGGATAAACAAACTTACATGACTTAAAATTTGTGAAGGAGGAAATGATGAGAGGGAAACCTGGGTATGAACATCTGAATGAACCTCTTCATATCCTAGTTGAGGCAGAATTACCTGTTGAAATAGTTGATGCTTGCCTAATGCAAGCACGGGAAATACTTGAAGATTTGCTGAAGCCTACGGTTTGTAAATTTCCCTTGTGTTGTGATAATATTAATATTCCGTATATGCTTTCGCTTAACTTCTTTATTTCATTTTCTGAAAACAGGATGAATCCCAGGATTTCTATAAGAAACAACAGTTGCGAGAGCTAGCAATGCTGAATGGTACACTTCGTGAGGAAGGGTCTCCGATGTCTGCCCCTTTATCCCCGTTCCAAAACAGCCTTGGAATGAAGCGAGCAAAGACTAGGGGGTAAACGAACCCTCCTAGAGGGCTGTTGGAACTTGTGTCTTAGTCTCTGCCATAGGCAGCAGTTTCCCGAACATTGCAGGTATTGGCTGTATAGGCGAATGCCTCCATTTGCAATCGGGGCACTGGCTCGGGCACTGTTACTGTTGTGTCCCAGTTAAGTTAGGCCGTTCTAACTTGTTTTATATATGAAGCGTGTTTATGTTGTGTTGGGAGGAGGTTAAATGCTAGTATTACACAAGTGAGCAATGGGTGTGAGTTCATTTTCAGGTTTCGGATTTTGCATTCGCATGTTGGTTCAGGGAGGCAGAGTTAAATAGCTGTGCTAAACTCTAGGTTGCATGATTAGATTATATTTATTATTGTTTATTAAGCTTTGTAATGGGAACCTATGTAAATTAAATGTGAGGAAGTTAAGGTTGTGGTTTGCATTGTATAATGTGATATACACAGCAAGACCGTGCCCGGTGATTTTATTTTACCCTACTCTTTAGGAACCTTACCTGGATCTGCGTTTTCAGGTCGGGGGTGGTTCCTTCGCTCATGTTCTGGTTGTATGTCTGTCCACTTGGATGGATCCGACAGCTCGTGGATCATCTTGTTGCCTCCTTTGGCCATGGGGAAGTTTGAGCCTCTCAGGCTTGCGTCCCACCTTCAGATGTGGGTTTTTGAAGCGGGATCAGCATCTCTTAGGTGGTGTTGGCTTTTGGTATCGGATAGGTGAGGTTTTGAGCCGGTTAAGGCTTAGCTTTGGTGGCAATGACGATTTAGGCTTTGGATCTTTGGTTATTTCTTTGAGTTTGCTTCCTAATGGCAATGGGGCAGGGGGAATTCGTTTTCGACCGCCTGACCTTGACCCAGATCTCAGGCTACCCCATTCTAATTTCATTATTTCCCTTCAAAGGTGATTATAAAGCCGTATGTGTAAAATCTTTTCGTTATACTATCACATCAATCTAAATGATATAGCTTCTTAATGTCAGAAAATCCTAATTCTTTTCATGGCGTTGACTTGGCTGTTGGTGCTATCGGCCTGCCACCGGATTCTATACCGCTTCTTAATGTTCCACAGGGTCACGAAAGATCAGATTCACCGCTTGATAATAGTCGTGATCAGAAGAAAAGTAAAATCATCAATGGAACTTTCGTCGAGAATCCTTTGTGGGAGGCCATGGATGTCGGCAACGCTGGGGGAGTATATCAATTTGTGGTTTCACATGAGGCTGTTGTCGGTAGTGGTGCTGCCGTTATCCAACCGGGGGATCGATCTATCGAGGAGGGTTCAAGCAAGATCTTGTATGCCAATATGGTTAAGGGACCGAAGAGAACGACTCAACAAGAGACTGTTACTGCTGAGTTATGGGGTATCTTTGTTGGGCTAACTTGTGCATGGGAGCCTGCAGCTTCTCTTGTGATTTTGGAGTGTGATAGCTTGGAAGCTATTCGAATGGTTGAGCGAGTTCAGGAGGGATTTAACAATCTCACGATCGCTGCTCATATTGCAGCTTTGTTACAACGGAATTGGCAGGTTCAGTTGAGGCAATTCATCGAGAGGATAGTCGTGTTGCTGATGCTCGAGCGAAACTAAATCGAGGTTGAAGCTCATGTTCTGTAATTGCTGAAACTCAAACATGCAATCAAGGATGGAAGGAGAGTGCGGAACGACAATGTCGATCGAGTGAAACATGCTATTTTTCCTTTCTCGGAAGGGTCTTATTGATGGTAGGGCTGTAAATGAGTCGAGCTGAGTTCGAGTATTGTTGAACTCGACATGAAAATATTAAAGTTGAGTTGTGCCAGACTTGTAAGCTCGTGAGCTTAAAATAGTTCAGCTTTTGAATTCGAAATAAAAAATTCAAGCTCGAATCGAAAGCTCATAAGCTTATATTTAAAAAAAAAACTCACATGCTACTTGATACCCAACTCGATAGATCACGAGCTTAAAATTACCAAACTCAACTCAAACTCGAAATAAAAAAAATCAAAGCTTGGCTTAAGCTCAAGAAAACCTAAGAAACATTCTCAAACTTAGTTTTATTGAAGCTCAAATTCGAACTCAAACTTTAAGTACATGAAAACATTGTATTGAATTTCTCCCATAAAAAACAATATATACATGTTAATATTATTAATATTTAATTTAAAATTTAAATTTTTTTATAAATTGTTCGAGAATTTTTTAAATCGGGTATCAAATAACTTTAAGTACATGAAAACCTTATATTGAATTTCCCCTAAAAAACAATATATACACGATTGCCCTCCGGCATAACAGTTGCAAACACCGCCTCCTGTTGCCTACCCACATTAGCCAATTCAATAACCACTCTAAGCTTATCAAAATTCATGTTTGCACCGCTAGTTATTGCAACAACATTCTTCCTCTTGAAGCCGTAATATTTGCAATACGTTTCAGCACCTGCAAGGGCTAGTGCACCTGTCGGTTCAAGAATGCTCCTCTTCTCTTCAAACATATCTTGCAACAAAAACAGGACAATTGTAAATCCCTAAGCATCGAAAGAGCCGTGGCTTAATTATAAGAAAGTCATAAAAAACGCATTAATTTCGAAATAATCCATAAGCTATGAAAATCTTCATTTCAACCCTTAAACTCACGCCGACCGCTGCCGTCGCTCGTCCGTTCCTATCACCTGCCAGCCCAATCGAAACGTCTCGCCACCATGATCAAAGCCCCCAAAACAATTCGTGGATAGTCGTCGCCGTTAGCCGGAATCGAATCCTTGAAGTTTCACCGAAAACCCACCCCGACGCCTCAGATTTTGGACGATTACGGTCGTCTCGAACCTTCGTTCGCCTCACCACCACTATATTTAGCTTCCTCGTCGCCGTCCGCTCAAAATCCAACCGGTGGGTCACGTCGTAGTAGCCGTCCGCCTTCGTGGGTAAGCTTCGGTGTTAGGATTTGAGTTTTTTTATAATTTAAAAGAAATAATGGTGGTTTTTTAATAAATATAATAATGTTTTTAATATTTATTTTTAAAAATAAAATTTTAAAATTACCAGATTGTGACACATGTCACTTAACGGAGAAAACTAACGGTTCGTCAGGGCGTGACCCATTTTGAGTAACGGAATAAAACGTTAGGCACCAAACTAAAACGAAAAAAAGGTTAAGCACTAAACTAGAAAAACGGACATACATTGGGCACCTTTTGTATACTTAAGCCTTTTAAATTTGTTCTTAAACTTTTAAATATTTTAAATTCACCCCAACATATGGCTATCATTTTAAATTGGTCCTTAAACTTTAAAAAATTCTAAATTCATCCCCAAACTTATGATCTTTATCTTAAATTAGTCCTCAAACTTTTAAAAATTATAATTTTATCCTTAAACATTTGATTGATTTAGGGGAAGTTATTGGAATGTTCAAAAGTTTGGGGACTAATTTAGAATGAGGGTCATCATTTGAGGATGAATTTAGAATATTCAAAAGTTTAACCAATTTAGAATGATAATCATAGTTTGGGGATAAATTTAGAATTTTTGAAAGTTTAAGGACTAATTTAGAATTAGGATACTAGTTTGAGGACATATAGTACAATTAACTCATAATTAAATTAGGTTAAATCAAAATTAAATTTTGACTTAATTCTAATTACAGTAAAATTGTAGTTCTAAATAAAATTGGGGGAAATTTTGTCATTTCCAAAAGACCCACTTGCAGGTTGCAGCAAGCAAAATCATTTGTTCACCAAACACAAACTTCTCCAAGAACACCCTCTTGGAGTTATGAGGCGACAACTCTACCATAAAACCGGAAAATCCCTTCCTTTTTCTTTCTTTTTAATTTTTTCGATTTTTTTTTTTGCTTAAATGAAGTTTGAATTTTAATTGAATTATTCTCATTGATATAAATGGCCCTTGAATCCTCGATTTCCGTCCGACCCACTTTCATTAATTCAAGAAAGTCCTCATCTTTCCTGTTTTTAGATCGAAATTTGAAGAACCCATCGAAGTTTTTGTCCAAAAGTAATCTCTACCCAACTCCTGTAATCTCCACCAGCTCAAATCCCCGAGTTTTCAAAGCTTTTGGAGTGCCAAAAAATGGCTCTTTGGGAAATAAGGGATTGTCAAAAGAAGAAAAGGTAGATATGGGAACTGATCAGAATTTGATTTTGGTGAGAAGGGGTATTTTGGTGGGATTGGTTTGTGGTGTATTGGTCTTTGGGTGCAAAGGAGTTTTTGCTGTAGAGGGAGTGGTTAATGCTGGTTATGGAGTGATTGGGCAGTGTATATTGTTGTTGAGGAATGCTTGGCCAAAGGCATCTATGATTCTCAAAGTGTTTAAGGAACAAGGTGTGGTTTTGACTGCGCTTTTGAGTTTGTCTGCCTTCTTCTCAATGGCTGAGACTGCTATAACTACATTGTGGCCTTGGAAGGTATTTCGTGTCTTTCACCTAGGGCTTCATAGTGTTTGTACTCATAAATGCAAATTTTTGGTTATTCAGTTATGGAAATCAAAATGCTTAGGATATGGGTTGTTGTAAGTTGGAAAGAATGTAGGTGATTTGGTCAGTTTATAAATGCTTTCTGCCCTATGTTATGACTGGTATCATCTTCCAAATATAAAAAATATAGGGGGGGGAATACCTTTAGAAGAAATTAGCATATCCTAGTTAAACACACACTCATCATATGATACATGTCTAATACTCAATTGTCCAGTTGTCGTTCAATTTTCCTTTAGGTGCCTGTTGTGCAGATTCTTTGGTGACTTGAGATATTTGGCTTAATTTAATATAGGACTAAATTTTGATTTGTGATGTAAACATTCGATATGAATTCCATGTTTTATATTAGTCCATCATGATTGAATTTGAATGATATTCATCCCTTCTAGATATGAGCTCGATCAGACACTCTTTTAGACAAACCACTTACATTCATAAATGCAAATTTGTGGCTTATCAATTATGGAAATCAGAATGCTTAGGATATGAATTGTTGTAAGTTGGAAAGAATGTGGATGATTTGGCCAGTTTATAAATTCTGTCTGTCCTATGTTATACCGACTGATATCATCTTCGAAATATTAGAAAATTTAGAAAAGAAAAAACCTTTGAAAGAAATGAGCATAGCCGAGATAAACACATACCCGTACCCAACACTCGCTTGTCCGCTTGTCTTTCGATTTTCCTTCAGATGCCTGTTGTGCAGATTCTTTGGTGATGAGAGATATTTGGCTTATGTTAATAACTTAATATAAGACTAAATTTTGATTTGTGATGTGAACATTCGATATGAATTCCATGTTTTATATTGGTCTATCATGATCGCATTTGAATGATACCCATCTCTTCTAGATATGAGCTCGATCATAGTTACTTATAAATGGAATCAAGTTATTAATGGTGAGTACACAGGGAGAAAGATAGATAAAGATGAAAGAAGGAAAACAAAGAGAGAAAATGATAAAGACAAGCAACTTACAGAATAAGCCAGAGAACAACAACATAAAGTATGTATCATTCATTCGACCATGAAACCTAAGTCAATATCAGTTAGTGGTCAAACCCTTTAGAATTTTTCGTTCAGACAAACCTTTTGTAGTATGAATTCTACTTTGATTTTTAGTTACAGAGGATGCAGTCTCTGCTGTTACAGACGATTGGAGTTTCTGCTGCAAGTTTCCTTCATTGTATATGTATCAAACCCTTAAGAATGTTGTCGTTCATTGATCATCTGATGTTAACTTGTGTCAGGTACGTGAGCTGGCTGAAAAAGACTCTGAAGATGGTGTTTTTAAAATGCTTTCCAGTGATGTAACACGTTTTCTCACAACCATTCTTATTGGCACCACGTACTCTTCTTTTCTTGCCATCACCTTGACCTGTTCCATTTTCCTTTTGCAGCTTTAGCTTGAAAGCGTTTCTTATTGTGGATTTAATTTCTCTATGCAGGGTGGTCAATATTGGTGCAACTGCTTTAGTGACAGATGCTGCAACAGCAATGTTTGGGGAAGCTGGTGTTAGCGCGGCAACTGGAGTAATGACGGTATGTATCAATATCTTGTTCTTAGGTTTGGTTTTGGGGTTGTATTTACTATTCTGGTATGCATGCCTCTTTTTGTCTTTCGTATGTCTTGGTTTTATTAGAAGCCATTAAGATGAGTTGTGGTTACACTCAGTAAGCACATGATTATATAATACAACTACTCGTGCCACGGTGCCATTAATATGAAAGTCAGTTACCTTTTATGGTGTTAGGTTGCAATATTGCTTCTCACTGAGATTACTCCAAGAGTATAGCTGTTCACAATCCCACTGAAGTTGCCAGATTTGTAGTAAGTCCACCCTTCCCCTTTTTCAAAAAAAAAAAAAAATTAATTCGGGTATTTTAATTTCATCACTATCCATATGTGTGTCAAAACATTGCTTTTTTACTTAAGAAAAAAATTCAAAATTAGCCGACTAACTGTGATTTAAATATTTCTAGGTCAAGCCAGTGGCATGGCTCTCTGTAATACTATATCCGGTGGGACGAGTTGTGACATATCTATCAATGGGAATGCTCAAAATTCTTGGTCTAAAAGGAAAGAGGTGAAGAAAATAGTTACCTGGATTTAACCTATCCTCTTCATTTAAGTCGCCATGATTGGCGTCTTTAGCAATGGTCTGTCAAAATTTCAACATATGTCATCATTGTGTTATACGCCTTCTAAATGCCTTATGTATTCTCTTTATTTTAGCGTACCTTATGTTACCGAAGATGAATTAAAGCTAATGTTACGAGGGGCAGAGTTGAGTGGAGCAATAGAGGAGGAGGAGCAGGTAACCATATATGTCATTTATATTAAAGTACACACGAATTATTTTGATTGAGCACTTGATTGACAAAATTTTTTATCTGCAATTATTTTTCTCTATTTGCATAAATCTAAATGAATCATCCATTGGTTCCTCTTCTTTGTTTATGTTTCTGGTGCTCTTACCATTGGAATCCCCTTGCAGGATATGATTGAAAACGTATTAGAGATAAAAGATACCCATGTTCGAGAGGTGATGACACCTCTTGTTGACGTAGTTGCAATCGATGCAAGCTCAACTCTTGTTGAGTTCCACAATTTGTGGTTGACTCATCAATATTCAAGGTAGATAAGCTTCGTAGTTATTCATCTTTTGGCTGTTTTTCCTTACAAAACAAGCTAACAGATTTGTTGAACTCATTTTTGCAGGGTGCCTGCTTTTGAGCAGCGGATTGACAATATAGTAGGTATTGCATATGCTATGGACCTACTAGATTATGTTCCAAAGGTGAGATGATTTCTGCTCGTAATATTTTTTCTTTTCTTTTTTTTCATTGATAAGATTTAACTTGTTGATGCATGGAACAATATAATAGTTTGCAGAATTATGATCTGTTTGATTTTGAAGGGTGAACTGCTAGAAAGTATTACTGTGGGAGATATGGCTCATAAACCTGCATACTTTGTGCCCGGTAATTCTGTTGGTTTCATACTTTGCTACATGCACGTATCGATTATATTCCGAGAAGCCGTTACACGAAGTATATTCAATTTGTTTTGCAGATTCAATGTCAGTCTGGAATCTCCTTAGAGAGTTTCGAATCAGGAAGGTTCACATGGCTGTTGTTCTTAATGAATATGGTGGAACAGTTGGGGTATGCAGTATACCTAATTTTGAATGATTTTGTTTTCGCTTTTCTACTCTTGAATGTTTCTTATCTGTTCGGAGTTTTTGCTAAAGATGCAGTTTTCATGTTTTGTGTGGCATTATTCGATTGTTATGGCATAATTTAACTGGATTGCTATACGACGTTAATATGAGATTGAACACGGAAAACTTTCTGCAGTTTGGAAAGTTTCAATGAGCTGCCAATATTCGTTTGTTAAAGATTACTTAGCAAACTTAGCGGGCAACGGTTAGGAGTGCATTGATTCTTGTCTCTCTGCTTCTTAAATTATTAGTTTTGATTTTATTGGACAGATAGTCACCTTGGAAGATGTTGTCGAGGAGATTGTCGGCGAAATTTTTGATGAAAATGATTCAAAAGTAAGGCTTGCTGTGTCTTTGACAACTTCATTAATAACTTAGTTCCTCTGCTATAAACTTTATACTCCTAATTATTTAGAATTATTCAAAACACTGCTTTTCATTGTTCCGCAAGTAGGGGTGGTAGCGAAACTTGCTTAAGAAATCCAACATCGGTCGAGGCGATTGTCACACTTCAAATTCTCTGCTCAATGATTAATATAGCTCGATTCTTATGTTTTCGTTTCCTGCTATAACAGGAGGAGATCCAGAAGAAAACTGGCTATATCGTAATGCGAGCAGAGGGTATCTTTGATGTCGATGCGAATACATCTATAGACCAACTTTCCGAAGATCTAAACATCAAAATTCCAGAGGTAAATTACTTTTATAACTCATTAATATGGATATAATCCTCATGCATACAATTTCATTCTATTTGCTAGCTTCTGCTAGTTTTGTAGATATAGAAATGTCTATGAATATGTATTCAGATGTGAAGTGTCAACATATTTTCTTGTTGTTTTATAGGAACATCAATACGAGACTGTGTCGGGTTTTGTATGCGAGGCATTTGGATATATACCGAGGACGGGTGAGAGTGTCAAAGTAGTGCTTGAAAGGGGAGATGAAGAAGACGACGACGAGAATTCCGAAGCTGCACCTGATCGCCAAGATCTGAAGGAAAGGCATCAAATATATAAACTTGAGGTACGGTTCGAACCTTTTCGAGATGTTGCATTCATACTGAACAATGTAACATTTGGAGTGCAAAAAATATTGGTCATTTGCATAGTAATTTTGCGCATAATGTCCTGGATGCAGATATTAGCAGGGAATGCCCGAAAAGTTAGTGCTGTTCGATTCGAACAGATAAACGAGGAAGAACTATTAGATCCTACAGTAGTAACTCCGATGGTTCCGAAAATCATGAAGAAGAAATGGAGCAGTGATGAAGACTCGATTAACAGTTATCGGGATGAAGATGCATTTGAAAAAGAGCAAGAGGATGACCTCTCTGATGATCATAAAGAGTATAATGAGAGCCCCAGTGGACAGTAATTTTTTTTCTCTCATTTGTCATTTCGCCCTACTAATTTCTTAGAGCTTCTTAAGAAGAGGTAAAGACTTGTAAAACGGGAGAATCGAAATAGCGATATAAATAGACCAACATCATATAAATTTTCGAGGAATGAAGTGTCAACGGTGCCTGGGGATGATGGCCTATTTACTTGAATAAGCTTCTCGACCGATATTCATTCTTTTTGTAGAATCAACTCTCCGATTATCGGTACGAATCCTACCGAGTCTGTTCTCCGTACTTCTAAATGAAAGATGGTCAGCTACTTGAGATATAATCTCATGCTGCAGTGGATCTTCAAAGAAATTGATAAGAGCCTCTGCAGCATTCTCAGCTCCTCTGAATGTAATGCAACAATTCTGAGCATATAAGGAACAGCCCCTGATTCGTTTGGTGCTCCGTGATCTTCCCGATTATAGCTCAGTTTCGGACACCATTTCTCTTACTTCATTGCTCTGAGATCCCAAAAGCTCGACCAGAGGGGGGATTGCACGGTTGCACCCGAGTTTTGAACGACAGACACCAAGTGCTTGTAACCTGATAGATTCCAGAAAACATTAGCAGCTGCAGCTTTTGATTCACCAATGCCTTTTCCTAAGGATTCTCACCAAGTTTTGAGCTATTGAAACTGCATTCGCCTTTGCAACAGCTAAAACACAGAAAACATACTCCGCAATCTCATGACCGAGTGGTTCGGGTCCTTGAATAAGCTCGGGATCAAAAGAATTGCCCGCCAAGAGTTTTGCGGCGGCGTCTCTAACTCGAAGCATCTCCGTGAGAACATCTATAACACCCAAGTCCACAAGCATACGATAGGCACAATGAGTAACCCGATTGCTTGGCAAGCTCTTTCCCTAGATAACATGTGACCACGATTAGTTGCCTCCATAAGAAATCAAACCATAACAACATCCGCCGATGAATTCAACATATTAATAACGATCTCCAAACCACCATTCATGGCATCGACTCAATTTTTTGTTCGACAAATTTACAGGGCACCAAATGCATTTCAGAAACTAGCATTAGATCGCGGCGACGACCGTAATGCCGAATGCAAAGCACCGGATTGGCCTATCAGGGTGGCCAGCCTACCATCTTCTTGATGAGCAATACATTTTAAGCAATGAATAACTGGTCCTTGAAGATGAGGGCTCGAATTATTTGAACTATAATCAACAATAAGATCACTAAGAATCTGTATCGTTTTGGCTCAGTCTGGGTCTTGATTCGATAGCTTGGTCCATTTAAAGCTCGTATTTTATGAAATCGTGTTGACTCGGGAATTTTTATTATAGAAAGTCGTTAGTTTTATTAAAAATAAAAAATATTCAAAATTATAATGAAGATTTACAAGCATAACCGTAAACCTTAAATATAATTATGACATTTTCCTATTACCATTGAGATAAAAACTAGCCACCTAGAACACATAAGGACCAAAGAAGGAAAATGTTAAAAAACTTAACAAAAAAACTCAAATAGATACGAACAAATTTGACTGCATCGGTAAACGAACCATCAAAGGGGATAAAGCTATTGAAAGACCACCGACAAATCGTAAATCAGAGTATCCACGAACGCAAAACGCGCATCCAAATAAATCCGAGGGTCCAAAGCAGGGAAGATCATCATGATAACAAATAAGCGTCACCTTGATCAGTTTGTGGCGATGTCAAATCCAACCCTGAGAAAAAAGATAAACAAAAACAACGACAAAAAACCGTAAGCTACCAAAAGGCAGAGAAAAACATGCCACAAAGACAGAGATAAACGTATCATAAAGGTAGAGAACATGTCACAAAGACATAATTATTCTTATTTAAAAAAACTAAAAAAATAGATAACCAGCGGACGACAACCAACATGAAAATCAGTGTCGTCTCCAATTAAACAAAACTAAAGAAGAAAAAGTTGGATTAATCAATAAAATTGACATGAGTTGTACAGAAAAAAAGGAAAAGAGAGTAGGAGAAAGAAAGCGGCTAGAAATTTCAAATATAAAATCTAAGTTATAAAACGAGATTCATCAATTTGATTAACTTATAAATTTTTAATTTGACTTGACTCGATCAAATACTCAGTAATATTAAGTGTTTTAGTGCTTTAAAATTATAACCTCGTGTTTTTACATTAGTAACAATGTTAATGCAATTAAGATTATTTATTTTTAAAAAATAATATATAAATTAGTATTTGAATTTAAAAACTCTTTTAAATAGATAATCGAACTTCTTTATCTTAAATTGATATCAAAATATGAAAAAAAAATCTTATATATTAACTTGACATCTCAATAATTCAATTACTCCATATTGTTAATGTGAGACTGACCGGTCAAATGATGAAATTATTGTCACATTTCTCAGTTTAATTGGTTGTTAAACAGTGACGGATTCAAAAATTTAATAATGAAAATATAAAATTTTAATAATTTTTCTTAAAAGCAATGAGTGTACAAATTTTTTTATTTTTTACTTAACCTATTAAATTAAATTTAACTATTTTTCCAAAATAATGAGTATATACTTGGCCCTAGGGATGGGCATAAGTCAGGTTTGAGTCGGGTTTCGGCCAACCCAATCCAACCCGAAAAATATATACCCTCCACTCGACCTGAACTCGATCCGACTTTTTGAGATAAAATCCGAACCCGACCCTAATCAACCCAAAATAATAAAAAAAATTATTTTATTCAATAAAAATAGTGATTTAATTGAAAAAATAATATATAGAGGGGTATTATTGTAATTATTCCTAAATATATAAGGTAAATTATATCTTTTTGGGTTGAGTCAGATATTTTTTACCCTAAACCCGAATCCGACCCAAACCAAATTTTTTTAAAAACAAACCGACCCGATCGGGTCAGGTTCGGGTCTCATGCCCATCCCTACTTGGCCCATGTTGTTGAATATTACATCAACAAAGGTATTAATTTGAATTTGTTGTAAGTTTAAATACCAATTTGAGAAAATATACCAAGTTCAATTCCCAATTAGTATAATAATCCCCCAACAAATACATAGTTAAACGGTGTCGTTTTGAGATGCGCAAAATCATTTTATTTTTTGTTTCTTCAAAGAAGCGATAGCTACGCACAGAGCAAATGTTTTTTTTATAATAAAAATGGCTACTTTGGATTCATCAAACCCGTCCACCGAAACCGACGTTGAAACAAACCCTACCCCCGATCCTAATTCTTCAAAAGCTACAATCCCAAATCCTCCTAATTCCAATTCCCCTGCCGTATGCCTCATCAATTTCGCAGGAGATTCCGCCGCCGGCGCCTTCATGGGCTCCATCTTCGGTTTCGGTATCCCCCCTTTTCTTTTCGATTTGATGCTTCATATCTCTTTTATTTTAAAAAATTTTAGTCTTTTCTTTTTGGGTTTTATTGGCATTGTTGATGTGTATGGTAAAAGAACAGGTTTTTAGGATTTTTTAAGAATCGAATTTTGGGTTTCTTCATTTCTTTTGATTTTTTTTTTACAGATGAATTTGTTTTTCTTTTAAATTTTGCTTTGTTTGGAATTTTTTCTTTTGGTCATGTTATGTCTGAGATCAAGCTAGGAAGTGGTGGATTATTGTGGTTATGGGGATATGGTAGTAGTTGGGTTGGGAGTGTCACATGCTGTACTCGATCCATATTAGTCGGTCAATAAGTCGGATACCGGTGGTTATACGAAAAAAATGGTACTAGTTGAGTGGATGAGATGGTTATAATGCTGAAAAATGGATCAAAAATATCATCATCTTAAATTTGTTATTTAGATTGAATAATGTCCTTAAAATAAAGCATCAGAATTTGGATAACAGTGACTTGGGTTCTTCCATGGCCTTCTGTGGCTTTAAGCTTGAATACTGCTTCGGGGAACTTTGGACTTTGAAGAGACTTAATTCATATGTATGTGAGCTTTTGATGTTTGAGAAATCAAATTACAGGCTTTGTTTCACTATCTAGGTGGCTGTACGACGCATGCTGAAATTTGAATGCTCCGAATTTATTTCTTTTGGTGCCAATTATGCTTAGGCTTAACTTCTAGTCACCAAGCAATCATCTTTGGCTGGTTTCTGAGCTTTTAAATTAACATTTTGATGGGGCTTATCGGCTTATTTGTCCGCTTAGATCAGATCTACACTTTCTTTAATTTCCGCTATTCTGCGTTTGTTGCAGGTTCGGGATTGATTAAAAAGAAGGGCTTTAAAGGCTCCTTTGTGGAGGCAGGATCTTATGCCAAGGTATGAGAATCTCATGACTCAAGAATAATGTGATTAACTCGTATTTCTCTCCCCCCCCCAACCCAACCGAGTGAACAAATCTCTAAGCTTCTCTTATATATTTTCTTTTCCCTTTTACAGACGTTTGCAGTTTTGTCGGGTGTACACAGTTTGGTGTTTGTTTCTGAAGAGGCTGCGAGGAAAAGATGATGGTATGTCTTGTAAAAAACGTAACTTCGTCTTACTTTCTTCACCTTTTGTGTGTGTGCTTGGTGTGTTGATATACAGTAATTCTGTGTTTGTCTGCAGTTATTAATGCTGGTGTAGCCGGATGTTGCACTGGACTTGCTCTAAGTTTCCAGGTACGGGAATCTCGAGGTTCATTCTATTGCTTAAAGGGTTCGATTCGAACCTTATTTCTTGACCGAAACGGTTATGCAGGTGCACCGCAGGCACTTCTTCAGAGTTGCCTCACCTTTGGAGCCTTCTCGCTTATCATGGAAGGGCTTAACAAGCAGCAGCCAGCGCTGGCTCATTCATTTTCTGCGAGAAAAGAGAGTGGAACACGCCCGGCTCTCCCTCTTCCAGATGAGCTCAAAGGAGCTTTCTCTTCCTTCTGCAAGACCTTGGTAGAACCAAATAAAGGCAGCTCCTGGACAGCTAACTGACGGGGACGCCATTTTTATGTTATTGTGCTTTGTATATCGTTGCAAGTGCGAGTGGTGAGACTACACTGAAAATTTTTGTTAAAGATTTTTGAAGCATTTGCAAGCAGAAATATGAAGTTGTTGCTTTTCATGTCTTTGCTCGATGTGTCATATGAAGTTGTTGCAAGCAGAAATGTGACATATGTCGTGTTAAAAGTGACGATGTAACATATGGTAAAACTGATGATGTTGTGTATGTCATGAGTCAAAAAGTAATGTAGCACATACCACATATCGAAAGAAAAGATGTGACACATATCACATGTCATAAAGTGATGAAGTGGTACATGTCATATGTTGAAAGTAACGATATAACATAGGTCATGTGTTGAAAGTGAGTGATGTGGTACTCCCACATCAGAAACAAGCGTTGATTGTTAGTCAATTAATTTTTTTTTATATATATTGAGGGGCCATTATATTTTAACATAAAATGTTGGGGCTCATAAGTACCAACAAAATAGAATAAAAATTATTAGTAAGTTAACCGTTAAAAATAAATTTTCTTGGTTGACTTCTCAGTCTTGACTAATCTATACCGACACGGGTCGTACACCTAATTTTATGGATGAGTCTCTCAATAGGAATTTTCTATATACACAAGAACTCGAACTCAAGACTTACTTAAACGATATCTAATGAACCAACCCCGTTGATAGATAATAGTTATCCCAAACGCTAATTATAAACAAAGGTTAAACAACATCAATGACTACTTAATACTTAATTAGTGACAGTTTTAATTTGTCACTCCTCTATTAATTTTTTTAATTAAATCATTTAACTATGTAAATGATATTGCTTCAAAAGAAAAGCTATGTAATTGATATCAATTAAGCTATCTACCGTTAACATTTAATGGAGAAATTATTGTGACAATTAAACAAATGTATAACTACATATTTGGCCCATATCACGTACACGTGTTATTTAATTAGATTCTCAATGACTGGAGTGAACGTGCAAGTAACAAGGACAAATGTATAATTATACCAATTTTTAAACTACTATTATTGCTTATCCGTCAAATATT